CAGAAATCCGTACAAACATCGCTCTTCAGAGTAACTCTGAGTGGGTACTAACTGTAAAGCTTCATTTTAAGCAGGCTCAAAATGAATCGAAAACGACGCAACTAAACAAGATTACCAAGGAATCCGCAGTCGATTCGTTTATCGACTTATACTCGTACCTCCCAGTATATTTCTTACAAAAGCGTATCTACACAGCAGTCCCATAAACATAAAATTTAAGATTTTACTTATATTCGTAATAAATATAATATATAATGCTTTGATTTTTCGATTCTTAGTGACAAATGAATAGAGCGCGGTTTATTTGGCCACTAATAATAAACGAGATAAAAGAAAATAATTCAGAGTTTATATTAAGTCTAGTAGAAACAATTTTCATTCTATTGAGATGTTTATTTAATCGCCCATGACCAATTTTCATAAGTCAGTCGGTCAGTTTTAACTCACAGAATTGATGGAATTTAACATGTTTTTTTTTTTAACATAACAAAGCGAATCTTTTGCAGTGTTGAAAGCAATTTGAGTAAAAATTCCCCAGATCAGATGAATTGACATGACGGTAAAATCTAAATCTGAACTAGTATGTTTAATTTATATTCGATAAACAATAAATTTACACAATCTTAGATGAATTACTATATTATAATTAACATTATACAAGCGAAAGCTTGCAACAATCGATCGGGTTTTGAATGAAATTTGGTGTACGGAAAGATTATGCCCTAACTTAGCACATAGGATACTTCGTATACTTATTCACGCGAATGAAGCCACAGGATACAGCTATTTATAAATATTTTTCACCTGTTAAGTACCTACTTAACTTTTTAGCACCGGGGGGAAAAGAAATTATTAGTAATGGTATCTAACTGCCTCCTTGCTAGCAAAATACCATATGAGGTCAACCTCCACGCGGTTCCCCCTGGAAAATATCGTGGTTCATCCTCACCTATCATCCCTTACTGGTGCCCCAATAACGCAAGCGGGGTCATTATTACATTTTCACCCATTAAAAAATAACATCTCTCATCAATCATCACATCTTTACTAACTACTAATTTAGATACATCATTTTATCAAATGGACCGTCAGTTTGATTGCCATTCTAAGCTGAATAAAAATTAAACTTAATCCAGCAAGCAAAAGTGACATCTGTTGTGTAGTAGTCCAATATTAACTAGCCGTCAAACTTGAAATATTTAACAGAGACATCCTACTACTGTTTTAATATTAGTACTGCCACTAAACAATAGATGTCACTAACAACTCATTACCAAATAAAGACATCCACAATGGTTTCCAGGAAGAACCACGTGAAGGTCAATCTGATAGGGTATATTAGTAGTAATGGAGCTGGTAACGTTACTAAAAATCCACCCGCCCCCCTATAGTACGGTTACCACTTGCCTTCAGGTGAGTCGTTAATTTGTTTGTGTTGTAAGTTGCATAAAAAAAAATTTGTTTCCAATGTATGATCAATTTAAAAAAAAATGTACCCCCGGTTTTTGCCATAACCTTCGACTTTGATTATATATTTTCATGTAATTAATAATTTCTAGTACAAACTATTAATTTAAAAAAAAACATATTTTTATTATTATTTTTACTAGGGGGGAAAGGGGTTGTTAGCAATGGAGTTTGACAGCCCCATTGCTAGCAATATCCTATCAGGCCCTATCAGGTCGATCTCCACGTGGTTCCCCCTGGAAACCATCGTGAACAATTCTGGTTGAATTCGTCACGATGGGCTACTTCATCCTTACCTATCATCTTTCACTGATGCTCCGCCAGTGAATAGCGCGGGTAGAGTTACCATTCCATTATCACCCATAAAAAAAATATTATTTTTACTAAATACGAAAAGGAGAATGTCTTAAAACATCCAAATCTACCAAAATGTATCTGAGGATCCACCATAAAATGAAATTCAGAATTTTCGGGCTCAATTTCATGTTTTTGGTCGTACCAAAATCGGCCCAGTAAATGGAGCTTAACATTTCGTTGATCATGAATTCTACCATAATAGTCCAGAAGAATGATATTTTCGCATTTTTAAATGTATAATTTTAACATTAAATTTCTATTTCGTTCGGCCCTGAAATTTCGGAAAATATTCCATTATAAACCTTCTGATTTCTTTTCAAATAGCGTAAGAAAACCTTAAAATTTCTAAATAAAATTTTAAGGACAATAATTTCTTACATGTTATTTCAATTCAAATGTTTCAAAAGTTAAATTTATTAAATTAATATATCAAAACTTTAATTTTATAATTACAAATAAAGATAAAGCAGTAAAAAACTAACTTAACAATTTCGTATATTTGTTCGTAACGAAATCGGCTTAGTAAATGGAGCTTAACATTTCTTTCGTAATAAATCCTGCCATAGTAGTCTACAGGAACGACATTTTAACATTTTTAAACGGTATGTATTATATAACTTTAACTTTAAAATTGTGTTTTATTCATCCTCGAAATTTCGGAAAATATTTCATGGTAGGCTCTCAGGTTGAACAATGTTGAGGGTTTTGTATGAAGATCAGACGTCGCCGCTCATCTGTCATATGACAGTTGTCAACACGACAAAATCCTTTAATCTAGGGAATGATAGAATTGGCATAATTTAACAACTCGATATTAATATACGAGTACATATTGGGTAACACCGCCGAAACAATTGTTACAACTATAAAATGTTTATTATTAAAATTCTTTAATATAAAATCTATACGTGTTTGTGTCGAGTAATAAGAAACATTTTTATATAGTAACACTGATTTTTAATTGTGTTGGGAGGTATTATTATGGAATTCCTTATGTTTTATAAGTTTTATGTGGAAACAACTAAGCATACTTTCATAGGAATGACATACTTTTATTTTACAACACAGGGGGCAAACGAGCATGCGGCTTACTTGATAGTAAATGACTACCGCCTTCCATGATCACCCACAACACCTAAGGCATTGCAAATGTGAAACTTTAGTTTATTGCGGTTGTATGGTGGTGAAAGTCAGCAGCAGGTATCAATCCGAATAATTCCTCAGAGCACTACCCATGATAAATTCGGTAGAAGATGCACAGAGATTCAACATCTCTACGCAGTTTCAGTGGGTCAAGTCGGACAGTAAGGCACTGATCATCAATGATTCGAACCGCCCGACTTTAAATGCGATCTAACAGAAGGAGCTGGTACTGTGGCGCTCCTGCCCATAGGTGAGAACAGTATTCCATATGTGGCCTAATTTGAGCTTTATACAATATCAAGCGGTAATCTGGCGTGAAATACTGTCTCACTCTATTGAGCACTCCTAATTTTTGGAAGTCATATTAACCTTTTCCTTCAGATGACCGCAAAATTGGACGTCGCAAGATATATCAACGTCAAAGACGCCTAGACTCGACTTATTATCAATGGAAGTGCCCTGAAAATGAATTGATACGACAAACGGCGTCTTTTTTGCGGTGAACGCGTAAACTTGTGTCTTCTTAGGGTTAAATTAGACAAGGTTGTATTCACTTCAGATCGAAACTTGATCGAGTGAAGTTTCAATTTCAGACACAAGTCTGTTCCGGCACTCATCGGTATGTGCCCGCGAGATCGGTATTAAAAACAGAGTCAGAGAAAGTGCACAGCCTTGCGGAACACCAGCATTCGCAAGTTTTTAATTCAGAACATGCTCCGTCCACAACGACCTTAATGTTCCTTGAAAAAACTGGCAACCCAAATGCACAATCTTGCAGGCAACTCAAACGAGAGTAATTTCGAAAGCAGCGCTTTATACCACACACGATCAAAGGCGTTCGTAATATCCAGAATAACAGTTAAGGCCTCTCCCTTATTTTTGATTGCCACTGTCCATCGGTGTACCAAGTAATCTAAAAGATCACCGGTCAAACGTCCCTGTCGAAAGCCGTACTAGCGATTTCAGATCAGCCGGTGCTCTTCTAGGTACCGAAGCAGTTGACGGTTAATGATGGATTCCATAACCTTCGAGAATAAGAAAGTGATAGCTATGGGTTAATTGGATAATTAATTGGATTTGAGCGATCTCTCTTTTTAGGGTTCGGATCTACTAGAGCAGTCTTCCAAAACTTTGGGACTATGCCTGATAAGTAACAGAACCGAAAAAAACGCGTAAGAACCGGAACCAACACTGGCGCACACAGTCTAAGCACAATTTGAGGAATACCATCGGGCCCACTCGACTTATGGATTTCAAGGGAGAGTTCTACGAGAAGTGTTCTACGCACTGAGCTATACGTGAATTAAATATTAGACATAGAGCTCTTACAACGTGGGATTGTCGGTGGTGCTTTCTCCCCGTCATGTAACGTCGAGTTTGACGCAAAAAAGGATCCAAGGAGATCGGCCTTTTCTTTAGCGTTCAGAGCCAACAAATTATCCTCCCTGTGCAATAGTGGAAAAGATGACTGACAGAAATTCCCTTGTGCAGTTTTGGCAAGAGACTAGAAAGCTCAAAATCCCGAAGGTAAATTAGCCAATCTCTTGTCAATTCTACTAATATGCTCTACATACTACATTTTGGAAATGTTGAGCTGCTTCTCCGACGTCCTTGGCGTAAAATAACTGGTATATATTAATAATGCAATCCACATTACTAACAATCAGTCCTATTGCTATCAATATACCCTGTCAGTCGACCTCCACGCGGTCCCCCTGGACACCTCATGCTAAATTCCAGGTGTATTGATCACAATGGGCTAACAGGCCTGCTTATTCATGTTCACCTGTCATTCTTATTGGTGCTCCGCCAGTGTATATCGATAGCACAGGCGGGGTTACCATTTCATTATGACCCATTAAAAAATAAGGCCCTAATATTAGGAAGATACCTATCTATGCTTACAACCGTCAGTTAAAATCACAGATTGTTAAAATCATTTACTAAAACTGAACTTGTGTATGTAGCGGGCATTATAAATAAATTCCTAGTTCCTTTCATCTAAGTCCGTGAGAAGCAAAAAAAAAATTGGAATTATTCATTCCGTTTTCTGAATTAGGACGTCTAGTTTTCGCTTTTTTTGTATGTTTTAATTAAATTGAGTTTTCTTTTCTTTAATTATACAAGAATGCCGTGATAAAACAATCTAACATTAAACTTGATTATAGGAACGTAGATTCAGTAGCTTCAATTTTTAGATATAACCTTAAAATTAGTCATCGTTCAAATAAGAGTATACCCTTCTTATTTGTATTTTCTATTTTCAAGTATTTTATTATGCGATGAATTAAATTTTGTTACTTTCAAATATATATGTGTTCATTAAACAATGACAACGTCTTCGTCGAAGATCTACTAATCTGGTAATTAGTAATTTATTTAACTTATAAATTGCACACGCCCACAATTCAAAAAAGTTGCATCCTAATAATTTTACATAAAACTTATTGTACTTCATAAGTAAATCAAAATATTATTTTATAACAGTGATTTTATGTGAAAATCACTTATCTATCCTTATTACCTATGTCTAAATAATAAAGTTTTAGGTAATAATATTTTGTTGTATTAAAAATTGTATTAAATTTTAACTACAGAAAATGTAGACAAAATGGGGACAATTCATTATTACAAACTATCATCTTACCTAGAACAAGCCTATACCTTAGGTAACAACCTCATACAGTACCAGCATTAAATACATACTTGGATAAAGTAAGAGCTAATGATATAAAAAAGGGTCTCTTATTACTCTTCAGACATTTGATTATAATGTCTTACAGGGGAAAGGGATTGTTAGTAATGAGGTCTAATAGTCCCATTGATAGTAATTATACCATGTCAGGATGACCTGTATGCAGTTTCCTCTAGAAACCATTGTGATTAATTCTTATAAAATTTCTCATGGTGGATTAACTGGCCTATTTTTATCCTCACTTGTCATCCCTCACTGTTGCCTCACTTGTGTACACCATAAGCACAAGTGGGGTTACCATTCTATTATTATCCATTAAAAAATCTATTACACATCAGATGTGGGCAAAACTATATAAACTTTAAAGAAATAATATCTTACTGAAATTGTGGACAAAACCTTGTATTATTTAGCCAGTCATCATTACAAAATACCTAGGTAAATATTTGTTAGTTCATGATAGGCATTTTGAATTTTCTAGATTGTACTTTACTAGAAAAGCAAGAATATTATTGGGTTTATATAACAAATATATTTATTCCTGCTCTCTTACTAAAACAGTGTCCATTAATATATGAAAAACTAGCGACCTGCCCCAGCTTTACACAAATAGGATATACAAAAGATATAATTTAATTTTTATAATCTCTAATTTTTATAAAATATGATCCACATTACTCGCTGATAAAGGTCTAAAAAATGTATAAATTAAGTATTTTTTAAGTTTATCCATTATAAACAAAAGTTCAGTTTTTATGTGATATTGGTTCACATAGAGGCTACTGTTCTTTTATAAAATATTTTGTTTATTATGTTGATGACTGTAAATAGACAAAGCCTCTGACTTCCACTTGGGATGACAGTTGTGTGTATAATTTAATGATGTAATATTCTTTATTATTGATATTTATCCTATTTATGTTATAAATACAAAAGTTTGTTACTTTTTCATCCAATAACTATTGAACAGACTTGAAAGCAATTTGATACGCAGGTTTTTTTTTTATATTAGTCTGTCTGAGAATCAAACCTAGTACCATATTTATGCAAGACACCATATCTATTACTGCACATTGGTTGTCATTTGATTTAACAAATATGTGTTTTTATGATTGTTCAGAAAGAGAATATCGTTGTACCAGTTCTTGATAATGTTGTTTCTTATTAACAATAGTGTTTATTTAAATATAATAAACATAAAAAAATGACTAAATATTCTCATAAGCATATGGATTGAATTCGGATGAAAGAGTACAAAAAATCTTAAAAACAAAAAGTGTAATAAATTACAGTTTTACAACCATGTCTTAAGGATTAAAGTATTCAGCTTTGTGTAAGAGATTGCATTGTCAATCTTCTATGCAAATAATAATAGACATACTTGATTGTTATAGAATATAAATAAAAAAATATATTGGCACAGAAAAAGAGGGATTAAGACAAATATGTGGGTCAATCGTTAGTGTTGCCATTCAAATATTTAGGTAGCTTTACTTCATGGAAAATTACTTAAAACTATTATAAATCATGATTACACTAGTAAGGATTTTTTGTCTGTCATAGTATTATAAATACAAAAGTGAGTTATTTATTTATTATCATTTTACCTTAACAGCTCAACCAATCGTTATGAAATTTGGTATATACCGAATATATGTATATACATAGTACTTTTTTTTTAATCTTTTTTATTTAGAGGCTTTTATCCTATAAGGATATGTCAGCCTCATCATACCCTAATTTTATAAAATACGTCCCATACTTAAAACATTGATACATAAATAAATAATACATAATACCTTAGTAGTCTATTTGCATAAAGGGAATTATTGATACAAAAATATAGTAATTAAAGATTTTGCCATTCCGGAATGTGGTTCTGCGAGTATATTTGAAAATACATAGTACTTGAGATGGGGAAGGATGTAGACTACTTTTATCTGAGTCACTTGGACAAATTCGCAAGTAAAAACTAGTCTCTAAATAATATAATACAATATCGCTACGCATTTGTTTCTCGGTTTAGGTACTTCTAAACTATGCTATGGATTTTAATATAGGTTTCACTGTCATTTAGATATTTTTTTAAAAATTGTTTGTATGTATATTGTACATCCGTGTAAAGCCAGAACGGGGTCGCCATTAATGCTCGATACCTGTATTTGTGTATTGTATTGACACTTTGAGACTATAACTGTACTTAAAACCTTGGTTCTATGCAATCAATGTTATTTCCGTATACGTACGTACTTACATCTTGAACATTATATTTAAAAATCTTTTTTTTATATTTCAGATTTTATTTGCAAGTACATAGCTGACGAATGAGCAAGAAACCCAACTGTATTTCAAACCAGGTACCTATCTTCATTCATATTTAATTATATTATACAGGGTGAAATCGAAATCCCATCTTTCTTTATTAAAAATGTTCAATTTAAAAGGAAGGGATTCTAACGATTTCGGCCTGTATATTTTGTTGATGTAATTGTTTTGTATTAATTACGTATATATAACTTTACAAAGATGTACAAATATATATATATATATATATATATATATATATATATATATATATATATATATATATATATATATATATAATATAGGTATATAACTTCTGTACAATGTTGTGAGATTCCTGCGATTGCGTTAATACACTTTTTAATAAATATGAATATATTATCAGTACCCCACGGCTTTACTCGCGTGAATCAATATACGAAGTATCGTACCTATTCGTTAATTATAAATACAACCTCCTCATATACAAGTATACTGCATATACATATATATCGTACTAAATTTTATTTAAAGCCGTTTAAGCGTGATTGAATAACAAATATTTATTGAATTATAAAGTAAATAGTTAAAGACGTAAATAATTGGCTAGAACGTGATAATTTTAATATAAATTTGTCAAAAACAAAATATACTCAGTTTGTTAATTTTAAAACGAACTACCGAAACTTTAAGTATAAAATATCGAAATCAAATTTTTAGATATAAGTTTTAAATATAAAGCATTAAAAATTTTAGGAGTAATATAAGAATAGAAATTAGAAGAAACATATTAACAATCTGTGTATAAAAAATTATAAGTTTGAATTGCGCTTCGATGATTAAAACGATAATGTAAATGTGAACACTGTTCTCACAGCTTATACGTAGGTACAATGCTTATATATGGTATTTTTGAGAGGTTGGGGGAGGGCGGACGCCAAGTTCATTAATAAACACTTATTGCACAAAAATGCATACGAGGAATTGATAAATATACAACCTACGGAATCTTGTTGGCAGTATTTCAACCAGAACAAAATTCTTACAGTGGCATCTATATGCATTATCTAAATTGCACTTCTCATTCAAAAATTTTTACAAAGGCTTGTGAAACACTCTAAATTTGGGAGTAGGGATCCCACTAAATTATTTGTAACGGAGTGTAAAACTTCTCTATATCAAAAGAATTACTATGTCTATACAAAAAAAAATCCCAAAATTACGAAATAGCTTATAGATAATTATTTCTATTCAATTAATGAACTTATAAAATTAAAAGTAAAATAAAAATTAATATTTAATAACATTATTGACACTAAATATACCTACAAGTACCTTTTTATATATACCTATAATATCAAATGAAGTCTAATGGCGTATTTTAATTGTCATGAAATTTTATTTGAATTTTTTATTATGAATTGTTAATGTTACTAATTGTTTAATACTTGATTCTATCAATATTAATAGCTGCTGTTTTTTTTTATTTTTTTATTTTGCATGCGTAATTATAGCAAAAATGATGTGAACTTTCTATTGTTAAGATCTATATATTTACCATATTTCCTTTAAATAAATATTCATATATTCAATATTTAAACATACAAATGTTATTACAATTTTTCACATTTACGAATATAATATTAATAGGAGTAAGATTAATAAAATGGCCGTGTGGTCCCAGCATAGAATAGGCCACCCCATCCTTTCCTGTGAGTGTCGTAAGAGGCGACTAAGAGAGAGCGAGGGAAGGGCAGTAGCGTCCTTCTTAAACATTGGAGCAAAACAGAGACTTCGATTGTAACAAAATCAATACAAGAATAATGCAGTACACCTTAACAATTGCAAATATGATTTTAAAATTAGAGTAGATATCTCATAACATTCTCAAAAAGAAAGTATTCTTTGGACTGATGAATGGAGAATTTTTTGTTAATAATCTTAAAAAAATTGAATAGACATTTAAGGTACATATCTAATAAAAAATCGCAACGATTCCTCCTATTAAGTTATTAAAAAATTTAGTTTTTTTTTTTTTTATTTTGATTTTGATTTGTGCTTTATCACAAATGAGCCTGTAAGAATGTCGGGGCTACTACAAAAATAATTATTATTTCTTGTAATTTATGATTAATTAAGCCTTATTCGATTATTATATTATGAATCGCATAGACTGCTACTGTCTTCATATTATTGCAGTTCCGTATTCTACCGGATTTTAAATGAACATACTTTAGATGTTAATTAATAAATTAATTATTTTGACGTCTTAAGATCTTTCTGTTGCGGTCTATTATAATTTTCAACAACTGTCATCGAGTGACGTCCGTATGACGCAGACAAGAACCCTAATGCGGCCGAAGGCGCCTCGCAAACCGTCAGTCACTATCGCAGCGCCGGCGCTGCCGCTGTATTGGCGGTTATACTCGTATTCCATCACGCAACCATTCAGACCAGCGCAAAAGGCGCGTCGGTATTTATTTTACATTCAATAGGTGTCTAAAACAGGTGCGCTCCTTCTTAAAGGGTGTCATCCTTTTGCCGTTCGACACACGTCCGTATAGTGAATACGGATAGCAATTCTTCCTTATGTAAGTATAAACATTTTTATTTTTCTTTATAGTCATTTTTATTTTTCTTACATTGATTGTCTTAAACTGTGGCCTTTAATTGGTAATATTTTGTTACTTAATTTCGCTAGAAATGCTTTGAAGAAATTACTTTTAAGGAAAAAAAATATTAAAGCCTTTTTCAAAATATCCACAGGAGATAACAAGTTTTGCGAGATAAAGAGAAGCATTTACTACATAGCTAGTTCAATGTAAAATTTTAAAATGTATGCCTTGATACCTTTGGAATAAGACTACTAATATATTAAATATTCTTTAAATGTTTTAGTTGTTTTAAAAATTCTGTTGCTCAAAAAATTGCAAATTTCGTTGAATAAAAATTAGAATTAACAAATATTACTAGACATATTACATAGCGCCATCTAGTCTCAAACAAATCAAAGCTTTGTACTATGGGGTCTAGACAACTAAAATACATACTTTTTAATTGATTTAATTATTTTTATGTTAAATTAAAACTTATTTTTTTTTAAATATAATTATATTGACAAGTCTGGATAAAATAATGACTAATATTATTACAGATTATTAGCTGTATCCCGCGACTTCGCCCGCGTTTATCAATACAGCCTATGTGCTAAGTTACGATATAACCTATCCGTATACCAAATTTTATTTTAATCCGTTCAGTAGGTTTTGCAATAATCACTGACAAACATCCATTCATGCATCCAATCGTTAGAAACTTTCGTATTTATTATATTAGTAGGATTAACCTTTAAATGAGATTTCTCAATACAAATTATTTACCAACAAAACTATTTTGTTTATATGTGCGTAAACAGAGATGCCATATTTATAATTATATAGATATTTGTTCATAAGTAGGAGAGATTAATGTTGTAAAGTTTAATTAAAAATAATAAAAGTAACAAAATAATCTTACATCTATAATATTGAAAAAACAGTGTAAATTCATAGAGTATGATCCAAACCTTATATCAAAATATTATTTTTTCCACGTGACTGATGTATGTTTACTGACCGGGAAAAGTAACCGATATCCTTCTCAATCCCATATAATACATGTATACCAAATTCCAGTAGTTGGTTAAACCGTTAGCCGCTATAAGATAACAAGCAAACAAACTCTTTACCACATTTATATTATTATTATATAGCGAGGATGTATCTAAGTATATTGAAAAAAAAAATAGTTCCAAATTCAAAATTTAAAAAATCCCCTAAACTGAGGACTTTTCAATCGAATTAGTTGCAATACTGAAAAATGGCGATATCAGCCAATTGTACTTTTTGAGTAACTAAATTGAAGCCCGTTTTTTGACATTGGATCTTATATCTATACAGTTTAGTAGTTTCTTACTGGAACATATAAACTACTACTCTAAGTACTTAAATAGAGGTTTTCGTTAGAAAAACTACATACATGCTATTATTATACTCTATTACCTATTTTTAAAAGGAATGATATAAGAATTTACAAAAACAGAGTAGAAGATACATCTTTACGTCAAAAACGGGGTAAAAGATACATCTTTACGGCAAAAACAACAACGACAACGTAATAGTGGTAATTTATGCATTTACATTTTGTTTCTTTAGCTTCTGAAATCCTATGAAAAGAATTATGAGCTAGTCTACCTATAATAATTTCACGCCACAACGAAAATGCATAGAAATAAAAAAATAATAATCGAAATTCAAATTCTATTAATGGATAAAAAATAGTAGATAAGAGCGAGTGTATATTATGTATATTATTATCTCTTGGCAAACAATTTAGTAAGAGAATTCCGAATGCAATCTCTCTCAATTTAAATTTAGTTTATTTTTTATGGCACGCGATATCTTCAATTCTTCAAAATTGACGTTATTAATTTAAAACGATTTTCATCTTTTTTTGCAATCGATAAATTTTACTCCTTTGTAGGTTCCATATTAATTTTAATTGAAATTGGTTAACAACTTCAATAAAAGAGAAGGTTTTCGGTGGTATTTTTCTTATGTTTGTTACCTCATAATTCCGTCAATTGTAAACCAATTTGGACTGCTAACTAAACTTCTAAACCGATTTTCATAGTCTATGGAACGAATCTATAGGCATATCCTTTCAGATAAAAAAATTACAAATCAGTTTACAACTGACGGAAATATACATAAAATAATACAATCGAATTGAGAACCTCCTTCTTTTTTAAATCGGTTGAAAACACAAAAGATTAAAAAAAAAGGTAAAAATCAAGTGTCGAATAGCATTTGAAGCAAATTTGCTATAAATAAGGTTCATGATAAATACTTAAAAAATCGTTTTTACTAAATATTAACACATTCAAAACTACTAAATCTATAAACTATAAAATTTCAGCTCTCAAAGCTAAAATTTGGAGCATAGTTTATTTTATAACGTCTGTAAAAAAAAATGATTTTTGATAATTTCAGTTTAAAAGAGAAACACGATACCGTGCATATAAAGCCAAGGGCAA